GCTCTGAACATTTGCTGGCTATGGAAAGCTATCATTGCTATGGGGTACTGCAGCTCTGATAAAATAGGATAAAGCTATGCTCCTATGACCCTTCATGGTGATTTCACCAGCTGGCATGCTTGCTGCAGTCCCAGTGAGAATGTTTAATAATAATATATCATTGCTATGGGGTACTGCAGCTCTGATAAAATAGGATAAAGCTATGCTCCTATGACCCTTCATGGTGATTTCACCAGCTGGCATGCTTGCTGCAGTCCCAGTGAGAATGTTTTATAAATAATATTATTTGTTTTACAAATCATTTTGAATTATCTACATTCATAGAATTATTACTTTTATGTTATATAGCATCTCCTTCCATATTTTTATTACTTTTTTTTTTCTGGTGGCACTGGGGTTTGAATTCAGGGCCTCATGCTTGTTACGTGACCATTGAGCCACTCCCCCAGTCCCTTGTTACCTGTTTTGTTTTATGCTATAACAATTGTATAACTGATCGTATGTTTTAACCAACTCCAGTGCTTATTCCCCATTTTTTGAGACCATGAGTTCCCAACTTGAAAATTCTCCACTTTGATTCATTTTTCAGTCAGTTGAAGCTGTTCCCCTGACACACAGTGTCTGTCTTTGCATGTTTGTGAGCTGTACCACATGAGCAATGACCTCACTGGGTTTTAAAATCCTGGGTCCTAACCTTTTCATCAAGAAATTTAAGAAAGACATCTTTGTTGTTTGAAATTTAGTATTACACATCTGACGCTATCTTTGTCCCCTGTTTTTATGCACTAGAAATGTATTATTTTTTCTGCATTCTTATCAGTAAAAACAGTTTCTACTATGTTTCTGGGAAGGAGTCTCTCCACACTGATCTTTCTGGAATAAAGAATGTTATTGTGAGCCGATTATTCAGCCCCTTGGGTTTGCTCATTTTCTAACTTTTGCTTCAATTGTATGTGATTGTTCTTTTGTGCCACTTGTCCTGGCTTCTTTGAGAAAAACAAAGTAGATTGGCCTCATCCTTCATTTGTGCTATCTTCTCCCTCAGCAGTTCTTGTCTTTGTCCTTTGTTTTCATGTTCTGGAAACATGACTCAATCGAGTCAGCTTCTCTCTGCCCTTTTCTGGTGACAACACTGAGTTCACCCTGTTTCAGCATGGTCACATTCCCAACTCTTCCTTTATTCTGTTCCGTCTCTTCACTCCAGCCTGGGTTTACCTTAAGTCTTCTGATTCTTTTCCACAGAGGCGGGTTTGACATGTTTTTGACTATTTCCTGGAGGCCCCCTGTTGCCGTAGTGATGCTCCTGTGGCTGCTTCTCTGGTCTGTGCCCTCCATTTATCCTGCCTTGGGGAGATGCTCTTGGCTATCTCCCCAGACCCCTCCAGGTTGGGGCTGTGCCAATGGGGAGCAAGTGCTTTTTGCCTTGTGCCCTTCTCATGGTCCCTTTGGTGAGGTGGACGCCCTGCTCAGATCTCCGGGGGAGGTAGGTCAGCACTCAGAGTCAGCCCAATGTCTGAGCCAAAGCTTTAAACAAGGAGACCCTGTCAGGCTGCAGTAGAATTGCTCTTGCTTTATTGACTGGTTAGATGTAACAAGCCGGAAGTTACAATCTTGACATCTTGTAACCAACAGACTTCCCTTGGCCTTCACCACTTTTAATACTTGTCATATGGGCCATGGGTTCCCCACTGTGCCCATCCCTTCCTGTCATCCTCCACCCAGCCCCCTCTTACAGCTTCTGCCTGGTCTGAGCGCACAACCTCACCCCACATTTGATGGTGTGGCACGAATGAAACTTCAGTCATACCGCAGGGCTCTGCCTGTTTTGGATGCCACTTCACCCTTGATTCTCAGGGTACCCTTGCAGAGGTGGGGATGTCCGTTCATTCACCATCCCACCCTGCTGTGGCTGTGACTGGGGCTCTGAATGTGACAGGGGTGCCTGCCTGCCTTCTCTGTGAGGTTCAGGAAGGGGCCATGATTAATGTTTTGCTAGAAGTGTTGGTGGGAGATTGGTAAACTTCTTTATCTTCATCTTCACTTTCTGACTCCTCTCCTAGTTACCGAGGATTTAATCACAATGATCAGTCTTTTTTTTCCTGTGAAATCAGATCAGTAGAGCTTGTGGAAACCCCACCATTTTGCATTGTAACTGCAAGCAGTCTTAGTTGCAAGATGGTGTGAAGTAAAGTTTTCAACTGCATGCCTGCGCAGGACTGTTTTAACTGGTAATTACCAGGCAGTTGTGAAAAGTAACAGAAACAAGATACCTTGCTCTCAGTTTTACAATATTCAGATGCTTTGTTTGGAGTTTTGCATCTGTGTGCCTCATGGCTCTCTTTAGGGCTCACTGGGGGCTTCATCGCCATCAGGACATTGGTTGGTCTGGGAGATCAGATCTGCACGGATGTGCTTCTTTAGTCAGTTGAAGAATCCTGACCAGGCAGATTGATTTTCCATCTCTCCTCAGTTGGATGATGAAAAATACCTTAAGCAACTGTAGGGGGTGTCATGTTCACTTTTCTCAGAGAATAAAACAGGGGCATTAGCTAAGGCAGACACAAGCAAGTTGGTTGCAAAATAAAGGCATCCTACAGCCCTACTTAACTCCTGGTGAGAGTAATGAGGTCAAAATATTTTTCTGAGGACCAGATGTGGTGGTGCATGCTGGGATCCCAGCTAATCAGGAGGCAGAGATGGGGAGAATCAAGGTTCAAGTCCAGCTCTGGAAAAAAGTTAGCAAGACTCCCATCTCAACCAAAAAGCCGGGCATGGTGGTGCACCTTGTGACCCCAGATATGCCTCAGCAGGGAAGGGTTGGGCATAGGTGAGGTTCCTGACTCCATGTGGCCCATTCTCTCCACCACTCCACCTTTTTGCCTTTAAGGTGCATTAATGGATCTATTGAAAAAGTTAAAGAAGTAAATCATTATTCTATCTGAGAAATTTAAAAGCTTTAGCCTGCTGAGCTCATGAACAGTTCCAAAAAGCTTTCATAATCTGATTCTGATTTAATCGTCTAGGAAGAAGTGCTAACTGCTTCCTTCAGTTACTGTAGGTTATGCTACTCTGGGTTGGCCCTACAGATAGACAGAGATTGAGACAGTAAGAGCAACAGTCTTCTTTCTTAAAGGGGGATTGGTGTAGACAGGAAGTCCTTATAAAAGGTATTTTGGAATAAGTGGTTATGTAACTGCTGATTTTGCAAGAAGGAGTGGTGGAGATCCAGCCTGAATCTAGCAAAGGAAACAACCTCCAGTCATCTTCGTGTGGTTTAGGACAGTGGTGTTTTGTTCTTTTATTCTCCAGTCATGGATAAGGCAAATGAGCTCTGCTTATACTTCAGTTGGGATTGTGTGAGCTGATTACATGTTTACGTTTAATGTCACCATGTGAGAGGGTTGGCACTAGATGACCCGTGTATGGCTTCTGAAACCTGGGCTAGAGGAGTCTTTTGTTTATAGGTATCTGCAGTATTGATTTGCTCAGGTACACCCTCTTCCGGCCTCCTTCTCCTTGACCGTTTTTCGTTCTCTTCTGATTGTGCATCGTGTGTGTGTGTGTGTGTGTGTGTGTGTGTGTGTACTTATCAATGCTGGCCTGTGTCTGGCTGGTTTAACTGATGGTAGAAGGGTCTCAGATATGAGGGCTTTATATCACAGGGGTAATAGGCTCCACTACTAGAATCAAACAAACACAGAATTAGGAAGTGTAGTGTGTTTCTCAGCTAGAGGCCTTCTTAGTCTTGCCCACTTTACCTATCAACCAGACTTGTCCTGCTTACAAGGACCGAGGAGGCAGCCTCAGAAATAGAACAGTGGATAGGTGTGGCACTTCAAAGGAGGTGAATTTACCACTCTTCAATTTCTCTAAACACTCCCTGTTCTTTTTTTTTCTCTTGAGGTGGGGAAGTACTAGTGATTGAACCCAGGGCCTCACCCTTGCTGAGCTATATCCTCAGCCCATATAGTCTTTATTTTAAGGGTGAGAACAATTTAAAATGTCTGTGTGATCACCTTTTCATATTTGAAAAGGACATTCACAATTCTACCTTTTTGAGCTTTTAAAAAAAAATTTTTTTTTTAGTGCAACCGGGGTTTGAACTCAGAACTTCGCACTTGCAAAGCAGGTATTCTGCCACTTGAACCACACCTCCAGTCCATTTTGTCTGGTTATTTTGTAGATGGAGGTCTTTAAAAATATTTGCCAAAACAAGGGGTTTTGTAAGGTGAGTACTTCCAAGGAAACAATAATAGAAAACGAATGCATTGGCTAACACCTGGATAGTTCAAGGGCTATCCTTGAACTGCAGTCCTCCTGATCTCAGCCTCCCAAGCAGCTAGGATTACCGGCATGAGCCACCAGTGCCTGCTTGAGAAATTTGAGATCTGTCAAGAGTAGAACACATTTTGGGTCTTTATGTCCGGGTGCTGGTATGCCTGTGAGTTAGATGACACAGACGCAGTCCCAGGGAGCCCCTGTCAGGCCAGGTGGCCCTGCAGAGGTGGTTTCTCCTGTTTCACTTGGCTCCACATTCCAGATCCTCCCAGGAATCTTCTCAGGCCAGGCTGCTCTGTTGGCTCTTGGTAAATATCCTGGCAAACACAAACTAAGGTTAACTCTTTTCCTCAGCCAAGTGCAGAGCACTGCGCGTCCCTGGAACTCATCCTTCATTCCCTGGCTTCCCGCTAGTGACATGGTAAATTGATTGCTTTGGTGGCAGTTTTGCTTCACTTTTTGTATGTATTCAAATATTAAGTATTTAATGTGCGTTAGGCAGAAGGATGTGTTAATATGCATACATCACACATAGGGTAAAATATACCAGAGCAGGAGACTCAGCTTTTCTGCCAGTCTGAAGTCGCTTAACCTCCATGGAGCATCTGTAAAATAAGGTGTTTGGTCCCTTGTAAGATCAATGTCCTTTCTACCGCTTATGGGTCAAATACAGCACCATCCTTATCTATCTGCCTGAGGCTTCCTTTCTGCTTGCTTTTCAGAAATGTGAAAATAAAAACTGGAGACTGGTTCTTTGAGGAACGAGCCAAGAAATTTCCAACTGAAGGTAAGTGCTCTGAGAACCTTTACTAAAGTAAAGCAATACATTCCTAGTTTTAAATATTTGGATTTAAAAAATCTTTATGGGTTTAGAATTGTCAAAAGACAAAAATTACAGCAAATTTAATTATAGATTTAATTGACTTTCTTTGTGATTCAGGAATTGGGGCAGCCTCCACTGCCAAGAGCTCCCCTGGTCCATTGCAGAACAGGGGGTTTTGTAAGGGGGGAACTTCCAAGAAAACAAGAGAAGACAGATTCATTGGCTAACACCTGGTTATTTTTTTGGTAATGGTTAAAGCCCCTCCCCTTTTTGTTGTAAAGGATCAGTAAGGACTTCTTCATTATGCTGACTCGGTAGACTGGAATCTCCTGTTTTCAGGAAAATCTAGTCAATGTTGGCATATTTCTGCTTTCTATGTGGCTTTTAGCACCAGTGACTCCATTCTGGTTTGGCCTGGTCTGTTGGAGCCCAGTGCAGGACCTCACTCCAGAGCAATGGCCCATCATTTCTAACAGTGCACAGGCCCCAATGTCTGGACTTCTTCTTCCATTGTCAAGCTTTCCTGTCCCTGGATTGCAATTCATACCATTTGTTACATTTGCTTGTGGCTCTTCTCTCTCTACCCCATTTCTATCTCTGAGATGGGGACCCTTATTTAAGGCACTTGCCCCATGGAGTGTCCCTGACTTTCTACTTCTTGGAGCAGTAATTCCCTCCAGAACATATCAGCTTCTGGTTTGTACATTTCTTCTGTCAATTGTTGCAAAGTGTTTTTTATATAGAATTATTTGTGCACATCAGCTTTTCTCTACAAGTAGGCACTATCCTTTTAAAATCTTTTCATCCATATAGCACCAAGCACAATATTTGTTCATGATTCTTTTTTTCCTTTTTCTTTTATTATTCATATGTGCATACAAGGCTTGGGTCATTTCTCCCCCCTGCCCACCCTCCTTACCACATCGCCTCGTCCTTTCCCCACCTCAATACCCAGCAGGAACTATTTTGCCCTTATCTCTAATTTGTTGAAGAGAGAGTATAAGCAATAATAGGAAGGAACCAGGGTTTTTGCTGGTTGAGATAGGATAGCTTAACAGGGCATTGACTCAATTGATTTCCTGTGCATGTGTGTTACTTAGGTTAATTCTTTTTGATTAACCTTTTCTAGTATGTTTCCCTTTTCCTATTGGCTCAGATTGTTTTAAGGGATTGCTTTAGTTATCTGCATTAAGGGCAACAAATGCTAGCTAGTTTTTTAGGTGTCTTACTATATTCACCCCTTCTTGTGTGCTCTTGCTTTTATCATGTGCTCATAGTCTAATCCTTGTTGTGTTTGCCCTTGATCTAATGTCACATATGAGGGAGAACATACGATTTTTGGTCTTTTGGGCCAGGCTACCTCACTCAGAATGAGTTTCTCAATTCCATCATTTACGAGCGAATGATAACATTTCATTCTTCTTCATGGGCTGCCTAAAATTCCATTGTGTATAGATACCACATTTTCTTAATCCATTCGTCAGTGTGGGGCATCTTGGCTGTTTCCATAACTTGGCTATTGTGAATAGTGCCACAATAAACATGGGTGTGCAGGTGCTCTGGAGTAACCTGTGTCCACAGCCTTTTGGTGTATCCCCAAGTGGTATTGCTGGATCAAATGGTAGATCATTGTCTAGCTTTTTTAAGTAGCCTCCAATTTTTTTCCAGAGTGGTTGTACTAGTTTACATTCCCATCTATAATCCTAGCTACTCAGGAGGCAAAGATCAGGAGAATCACGGTTCAAAGCCAGCCCTGGCAAATAGTTCATGAGACCCTATCTCAAAAAAAAAAAAAAAAAAAAAAACCATCACAAAAAAAGGACTGGTGGAGTGGCTCAAGTGGTAAAGCACCTGCCTAGCAAGCATGAGGCCCTGAGTTCAAACCCCAAAACCACCACCACCAAAAATAAAAGAATCACACGAAGACATACACAAATGTCATGAGACTCAAGTGGAGGCAGTGTGCTGTCGATCACATCTGTCTGCCCTAGTGGCTCGGGTAGTTCTGGCTGATTTAGAGGGCAGGAGGTGGCTTGGAATAATTTTTCTAAAAAAAGTGGCAGTGTGAGGTCAAGAAGCAAGCCATTTAATTTCACCCTCAAATTTGCTGGTCAAAGGAAAGTATTGATACTCACCTTTTGTAAAAGGCACTGGAGCTGAGGTACAGATTGGGTTGGTATGCAGTTCTCCCCTGGATTACACTCCTGACTCTTCTTACTTGAGAACAAATGATGCTTCTGCTGAGTTCACTAGAAACCTGGGAACACAAGGCTCTGTCAGCAGGAAGCAGCGAGGGACTGACTTCATCTCAGCCCTCACACACTCTGAGGCTAACCCTCTCCTTGTGGCCATGTAGCATAGCTGTGCCTGGGTACCAAGCCTTCTGGAGCCCCACACCGTGCATTGTGATATCTAAAGATGTATCCATCCCCCAGGTCCTGATTTGTGCTCCCCTTGGGGTGCTGTCCTCCTCATGTTAATTGTGTTATTGGGCAACACTGTGGTAACACAGGTGTTTCTCTATTTTATTGTTTTGTTTTGTTTCTTTTCTATTTCTCTCTCTTTTTTTACTTTCTTTTTTTTTGGTGGTACTGGGGTTTGAAGTCAGGACTTTGTACTTGCTAGGCAGGTTCTCTACATTTGAGCCATGCCCCAGACTTTTTTCCTCTGGTTATTTTGGAGATAGGGTTCTGCTCCTGCTTCCCCCAAGTCCCCTCCCAACCCCCATCCCCCACCCCCCAGCCCCTGCCCAGGTTAGCCTGGACACAATCCTTTTCTTTTATGCTTTCCACTGTGGCTGGGGTGACAGGTGCCCATCTCCATGCCACATTTTCTCCATTGGGGTGAGGGCTTGTGTCAGGCCAATGTGGTAACCACTACACTACAGAAATGATATGAGGTCTTGTGAACTTATTTTTTGCCCCTGGCTGGCCTGGAACTTTGATCCTTGATCCTCCTGTTCTCAGTTTCCCAGGTAACTGGGATGACAGGTATGCACTACCATGCTCAGCTGGGTTTTGGTTTTTTTTTCTTTTTTGAGACAGGGTTTTGCTATACCTAGTAACCCAGGCTGGCCTCAAACTCACCATCCTTCTGCCTCCCAAGTGCTGAAATTACAGACAGGTGCCACCATGCCTGGCTCTGTTTTGTTTCTTTAAAATGCTTTTTTATTGGGAACTCAAGGGCCTTCTTCAGCTGATAGATTCCCCTTTTAAAAAATTTTTCAATTCCTAGTTCAAACAAGAATATAGGAATTGAAGAAGGAATGACAAAATTAACATAAAGAAAGTCAACCTAAGCATAATCATCCTTTTTAGCTGTTGTTTCTACCAACATATAAAACAAAGACCGACTCTAACACAAACAACAAATTCCTTCTCTACGTGCTTCCTCAAATACTGAGATATTGTGTTTTCTTTTTGTCCTGTCTTGTAGAGTGGTGCTCAAGAGGTGTGGAATGAACCAGAAAAACCCCAAGTTGGGAGAACACACAGTAGTCCTGTGAACCAGACTGGGTGGGGTGGAGTCCATAGCAGGAAAGTCAGGACAGGCAGGCAGGAAGTTGAGGGTCAGCTGATGAAGGCTTCTATGGATAAGCAGGAAGTCTACTCACTCCTGTCTCTTCCCCAAAGGGGAACCTGGTGCACTAGCGGATGAATGTAGTTCCAGTATCAGTTAAGATTCAATTAGGAACAGAAATCATGTAATTATTTGAACAAAGAGAATTTAACTTAGGAACTGGTCAAATAGGTCATTTTGGAGAAATGAAAAAGCATAAGTGGGGGCCAGGCATGGTGGTACACGTCTGTAATCACAGAGGTTAGGGTAGGAGGATCTCAGTCTGATGCCATCCTGGGCAAAAGCATGAGACCCTGTCTAAAAACAAACTAGGGTGTGGCTCAAGTGGTAGCTTGCTTAAATAAAGAGAAAAGGAAGGAAAGGAGGAAGGAAGGAAGGAAGGAAGGAAGGAAGGAAGGAAGGAAGGAAGGGAGGAAGGGAGGGAGGAAAGAAGGGGGTACAGGGAGGGTGCAGAGATGTGGAAGCTGCAGGAGCAGACAGCACCCTGCCCTGCTGAGTTCATGCTGAGCAGACAGAGATGGACAGGAAGAGACCCCCCTCAATCTCTGGGATCCCCCAGCAGCTCCACTACATCTAATAGGAGTCAGCTGCAACCTCAGCTCTCTACTATACTCAAGAAAAAGTGATTTTTGTGTATTCTGTAGTGCTTTTTGTTGCCATGGCAGAAATAAGGCCTTTTCCATCCTTTTCCATCCTAAGCCAAAACCTAGATGATGCATGTAAACCAAGGAAGGTACAGGCAGCTCCCACATGTCCCTCTTCCTATGAGTTGGCTATCTACTGCTGCGTAACAGATGTCCCCAAACTCCAAACTTAGTGACTTAAGACAATTAACTTGGCATCTTACACAGTTTCTATCCTCAGCCGAAGGCTCGCCTGGGGCTGGAGGCTGTGCTTTCTTGGGGCTCACTAATCTATGTGACCAGTAAAGGACTGGGTTCCTCACCATGTGGATGTCCTCACAGGGCTGCTTGAGTGTCCACATGGCATGATGTCTGACTTCCCCAGGGATTCCTCTGACCCAAGAGAGCAAGGCAGAGCCCTGCAATATTTCATATAGCCTAGCTTCAAAAGTCACATCTTGCCATTTCTGCTACTTCTTATTGGTCACACAGGTCAGTGGCAGTCAGGTTGGGAGGGGCTACACTGGGGTGAGGAGGCCATTTTGGGAGCTGGCTCCTAATCCTGGGGAACAGCACCACTTCTCATAATTCTGAGACTCATACTTACCCCTCTTCTTCCTCATCCCACCAACACAGCCAGTCTTTAAATCCTGACACTCCTATCTCCCCAGGTCTCTTCATTCTCCCCGTGCCTTCATTCAGCTTCCAAAGCAGCAGGTCTAATGTGCCACCTACTTTTTCCCATTGTCTGTCCTCTGCTCT